TTCGTTTAGGCTTCGCACAAACCACTAGGACAAATTGGGCATTATCAACTACGTCAAGCTCAACATTCAAGGGCCTCATGTTAATGCTTGTACTAGATTTCGAAACATGAGAGCTCCGTGGCGTGGCAGTTGAATAAATGTTTTTACATGTGTTCCCACACGATACATCGACATTGGGATTGCGTTGCAACTATCCGTCGATTTCATTGCGTTTAGAAGTGTCTTGGCAGTGAGTTTTGTGGGGATGAATTTAAGGAAATTTAACTGCGGTACAGGTGTTTGGTCTTGTCACGATTACTGTATTACAGTTTTGGGAGCAAGGCAGTTTTAACACATGAACTTTTAAAAGTTAGGTTACGCTGGTATATATCGGCTGGACGTGAGCCGCGACGGGTCTTTGTTATGATAGGCGGTGATCGGTGCTGTCAGAATGTTCAAATATTTCGAGAAATAGTTGGGAGGCTATGGTACTGAATGTCCGTTTTAAAAATGTATCACAATGGTTATTTGTACTAGCATAGTGAGACGGAATCAGTGTGGTACAAGGTGCAGTATTCTGTTATGATTTGAGATTATCACACATATAGGACTGATTATGGGAGACTGTGCAAGTTGAGGAACTTACGAAATGCTCGGGACTGCTTCAAAGTGACTTTGATCAGGCGTAGACGAACTGAGAGTTCTTGGGAAAGCGATAAGTACGTTACCGAAATTATTATCAACGACGGATGGTGGGTCTCGATATTCAATCAATTTAGAGCGATTTTGGATAGAGTTCCGTAAGGTAGTTCAGATATGAGTTGTTTAGAGCCCATGAGATGTGAAAGTTATTCGCGGCAGTTATTTTATTGAAGTTATCTAGAGCTCACTTGCATGATCTCGCACGTTATCAACATTGCTTTTATAAGTTCATGGGTAATGTACCGCTCACGCTGAAGATGCTGCTATTGAGTCGTGCTGAAAAAAGGGTACAGGACAAGTCGGAATCCCGGGAATGCCCGTTTTGAAATTTTATCACAATTTTTATCTGTACTAGCAAAGTATAAAACGGATGCGGAGCGACACATAGTGCGGTATTCTGTTATGCTTTGAGTAATGATGTACACCTGACAAATGATCACACTTGTATGAATAATGAATCGAAACTTTTATTGGATTGACAAATGATAGATACATGTCCTTAGGAGAGCGGTTTTCACAATCGGGAGCTCTATTACCTCCTTGAATGGTTTGGCAGGCCATCGTTACGAGTGCAATCTTGAAATACGGCTGAAAATGACAACATGCATGAGTATTTCATTCATTGATATGAAAACATTAATTTTAAATCTAGAATCCTACAACACATCCACCACAGCATATCGCACATTTGTCACAAACCAAATACCTCTGACACAAGGCAAAGCATAGGTGAATATTGTCCACTACGCATTTATTTCAGCTTGTATCAATATGCATTTGACTTATACTGCACAATGATAATCCATTGCGCAGTGGAAATGAGATGCATCTATATGCATTTCACTTACTGAGCACAGTCTGTTAACATTGTGCCGTATGCATTCATTCAGTTCGTTTTGCGTTAGTATGTATCTCATATGCAAGCCAATGCAAGTGAACTGAAAGCATACAGATGCACTCAGTTCATTGCAGAGCACTGTATGTGCTCTCACGTTTTGTTCAATTACCCAAGTTTGAGGTAAGCTTGCAGCACTGTGTTCATTTGCATTAGTTTGCATATGAGATGCATACTAATGCAAAATGAACTGAATGCATACGGCACAATGTTAGCAGATTATGCTCACATCAGTAAGTAAGATGCATATGAATGCATCTTATTTCCACTGCGCAGTGTGTTATCACTGTGCAGTGTAAGTCAAATACATATTGATACAAGCTGAAATAAATGCATAATGGACAGAATTTACTTATGCTTTGCCTTGACCTATTTTCAGGAAATAGAATAAAGAAGTGTGTTGCCATCAGCGAACCCAGTTTAAAGATTCAAGTTAAAAAAATTATCACAATGGCTTTCCACCATAACATAGCAACTGTTACATGTATTAATTTGCAGTCCCGCTCAATAACCTCTACTGATTCCACCAACTTAACCCCTAAGGAGGTCATTTATCCTCTCACCCCTTATGAAAACCACTTATATATGATCACAATTATCCAATTGCAATATCAAAGTTTCTTATCAAAGAAAATGTTATGTTTGCGGCTGTGGAAAAATATGATAACCACTCATGTCTTCCACATTTTCAATTTTGTATGATCCATTTCTGCTTGGTGAAACGAATCAACTAGAGCAGCTTATTAAACATAAGTCAACAAGCAGTTTTGACGTATTTGTGGGTAGAATGGCTCGTCGATATACATTAATGTGTAATATTCACAGTTGAATGGAATATCTGCTCGTTCATTTTGCTAGAAATAGCGATTTGCATTACATTTGCACTTCACTTTGTGCTGGCACTGCTGGCATCTATTTGACGTGTCATTTACACACTGTTGATCATAGAGCAGGACTGATGTCCCTTTTGCAAGCTCTAAATTAACCGAAAGCAATTAAGCACATTCTATCGTATTCTGAAACTAGAGATTCTGGTGGATCGAATGGTGTACACAAGGTCAATATTAATGGGTAAACTTGAGAGTACAATAGGCTTGAATGTGGCACCCGCATATCCTTGAGGTTGTACTAAGCAAATATCTATATCTCCTCAAGTAAGCCAAATTACTCAGCAAAATATATATTTTTCTGAATGTAGACGTTTCGCTGGATCGAACGGTGCAAAGAGATTCGCATGTTTCTGGGCAAACTTGAGAATATCGGTACCTTGAAGATAGTAACGCCTATAGCGCTATAGTAATGTGTACAATTGATCCATAGAAATACAATGTATATGAATGAGCGCTTCTGCGCTAATTGAGATGGCTTTAGGAAAACAGCTATATCTCCTCAACTAAGCGAAATCTCTCGGCAAAATATATATTTTTCTGAGTGCCTGATTCAGCTGGATGGAATGATGCAAAGAAATTTAAATGTTACTGGGCAAAGCTGCGAGTACGGTAGGCTCCAAGATGGCAACCCCTATAGAAATGCGAAAATATCCATATCTCCTCATGTAATCATTATTGTTCAGTACGATATGTGTTATTCTGAAACCAGAGTTTCTGAGGAATCGAATGGTGTAAAGAAATTCACATGTTACCGGGCTAACCTGAGAGTACGGTTACCTTGAAGGTGGTAATCCCTATTGTGCTATAATAATGTATGCATTGATCTATAGTGATGCAATGTATTGAATGAGCGCCTCTGCGCTTTTTGAGATAGCTTTAAAAAATAGCTATATCTCCTCATGTAAGCAGACCTGCTCAGCAAAATGTGTGATATTTTGAATCCAGGGGTACTGAGGAATGGAATGGTGTAGAGAATTTGATATGTTACTGGGCAAACCTGAGAATACCGGTAGCTTGAATATATTAACCCTTGTGGTGTAATAGCGCCACTGCGCTAGTTGATATAGCTATTTATCTACCCATGTAGGCAGAACTGCTCGATAAAATTTATGTGCAATAGCTCCGGGGTTAAATGACTACGGTAACTAACCACGCCCACAGTTAAGGCAACCAACGGGAGCAGTACCTCCGGCGTTGAATGACTACGGTAACTAGCCACGCCCACAGCTAATGCAACCAACAGGAGTAGCATCCAAGGGCTAAATGACTACCGTAACTAGACACGCCCACAGTTAATGCAACCGACAGCAGTAATACCTCCGGGGTTAAATGACTACTTTTTGACGCAGTACATTTAGAAGCCTACTGCGAAATTCCGTCATATGGAGAACACATTGGTGTAAGATATTAATATCAACGATTTCCTAAAGCCATCTCACGTAGCTGAGTGGCTCATTCCAATATATTGTGTCTGTATTGCTATTCAGCACGGATTCATTTCAGTTGTTAGTAGTATGCATGTGACTTCTAGTGCACACTACGTCAATGCTCTTCAGCTTCAAGTACAAATTTGTAATTCTTGATTGTATTCTATTTTTCACCTCAGGGAAATTGATTACATCCGCAATATGAATCCAAACTATACTCAGTTATTGTTTAGTGTTTATCATTGGTTTATTTCTCGTTGCATAGATCACACTTAGCTGCAAGCATGCTCACTTATTCAAACTGAGTTAATTTCACTCGAAATGCTCTTCATCGTTCCAGAAAGCAGTTGAACATGTGCGAAGGTAGCTGTGGCAGAATGTCTTCATGCGTTCGGTGGCTGAGGCGTGTTCTGTGTATGTTAGACCACACCCCCTTTTTCTTTGACCTATACTGCAGGATTACCGATTGTTATTAATCGGTTCTGTTTTGGAATTGGAATGTGAATATGCGGGATAAGATATGATATCTCTGATTTTCCGAAAATGTTTTGCTTGTTTTTAAATTTGAAGAAATCTCCGGGCTTCGTGCATAAGAAAGCTTTAGCTGTGTTTGATACGTATTTTGTCGGGTTCGATATCAGCAACCAACGCACCACAAATGACGCTTGCCAGTGTCTCTAACTTAAGTCTAGCGCTTCTCAAACGCAATAGATTTCAAGCTGTTTGATGAAAGAAAGAGATGATGTCAATGAATTTCATATCAAATGAAAATACAAATCCCGTCACTTGGCGAACTGTCACTCTGTTCCTACTTGGCGAACTGTCAGCATTCCATTTCAATGAGGCTATCATGGAGCATAGTTTACTATAATGGTAATCACTAAGCATTACTGTTATTTACAGAAAAACTGTGTGTAATAACATCTCAGTCCGCTCTAATCTCTCTGTTTAGATATCATTGTTAGGGAAGCTATCGACTGCGAGAAATCGGTGGCACATAATTATGGCTTAGCGTTTCGTCAGATAAGATGCGTTTTCAGTGAACTGAAAAAAATTTTTGTGATATTTTCAGAGGTGAGTATTACGTGTACATTTATTCAAAAATATATGGGTACGACAAATATAAGCCAATTGATGGCTGAAATGAGGCAGTTGGTTGTAAATTTGCAATCAAGGGAACGTGCCACTGAAGGCGCCCTGACGAAGAGTCAAATTGTCAACGATAAAATTTCCAGTATGAAAGAGGTTTGTTGTTTTGCAATCAACATTTCAACTTTGTGCCATAATAATAAGTTTTTTCGTGTTCTTTCGCTTTGAGTTTCTTAAATTCTCTCGTAATCATTTTTGGAGGGACTAACATGTGTAAAATTTTATGACTTGAGTATATTAGATGGTCGTTGAAAAGTGCTAAAAAATTGGTTTTCTTCAAGTATCAAGAGGAAGTGGCAAATATGAATGGCTGTTGGCGTATGCAAGGTCGTAAGGTACTATTGGCTGGCTTACAACAAGAGAATCGACAAATCCTGCAGTTACAGCAAGAAAACAGGTTGCTGAAATTTTTTGGTGGAAGAATGTTTTTACTGCTATTACTACTATTATTACAAGTGATGTTTTAAAGTGAGTAATCAAGAAACGTTCGTAAATTTGGACAAGAAAGGATGTACGTTAATGATGAGATAATAATAACTTGAGGGAGTTGCGACAAACATTAGAAGATTATGAAGGAACGTTAGAGATTGTAATGCAAAAGCATCGAATGATGGTAGCATCTTGGTCTCGATACATCAACGCGTTACACAACAATCAGCCATTACCTGCCGTGGTAAGTTGTTATTTATCTTGGTTGTGCTTTCGTCAATTTAGGGAATGTCTCTTAATTTCGTTTTGAAAGACTGTGTGTCATTTATTGGTACGCATTACGCTGTAGTGTTGTTCTTCTGTTAAACTTATTTGAATTCCATCAACAAAGTCAAATTTCTTACAGTGCAACTCCGGAACTGATTACAGCAAACAGTCAAATAACTCACCACTAGTCGAGAAGACAGTACAGTTCTCAAGAATGCTTCAAGATCGTTTCATTGAAGGCGAAGCAATGTCTAATATAGATCAAGAAGTTCGTCCGTTTTAGTATTCTGTCCCAATTTTCTTTTTTATTGTTACTATGTCTTTTTGCTTCCATTTTTCCTTCATCTTTTTCTTGTATATAAATCAGAAATGACGGTGATTCAAACAAGTAAACCCAAAATAAATGTTTTCGAATTGTTGTACTAGTCATATGTATGGTAATAATGATAACGCCGCACTTTAAAAACCAGTAATAATTGAAGATTATCGCGAGGCTGACCACTGAGAATGCTTGTTTACGAGAATTGCTGAACATAAGTATGCGAAATAATCCGAATATAATTCGTGAATTCACCAAGCAGAATAATGAAACGATATTATTGAATAACAGTAGTAATCAATCGAATGGCAATATTGATGATAATTCTGATTCGTTGAATGGTATACATGATCGTGAGTTGTTACGTTGATTTCATTTTCATTGTTTTATTTAGTTGTTTTCGTTATTATTACCAGTGAGTCTCATTATTCAGTAGGTGATGATGGTGCGTCAACACCAACAAATGCCTCACACGGTGACTGGGTTGAGAATAACGTTAAACGGAATGGAGTAACGGTATTTGATTACTTTTGTTATCGGTATTGTAACTTGTTAAATTATAGTTATGTGTTATTAGCATACTCGTTACTATGTGTGTTGCAGGTGAAGAAAACACGAAAAATATTGAACGATGTACTATATTCGCCAGTGGAATCGAATTCAGCAACAACAAATAAATCATCATCAGCAGCAGTAGCAACAACAACAGGTCGAGAAGGCTAATAATATGATCGGTGTTTAAATGATCTCCGTTCCTTGCTAAGTTTCAATTCGGAATTTTTAATTGATTTTGTGTTTGAATGGAATAATTTTTTAATTTTCTCATTGTTGTTATAATGGGTTGTGTGAAGATATTTATTGAATGCAATGCATTTCTAAGATGCTTCAACTGAGATACCTACCACTTCCACTTGAAGCAGTTCAACCAGTTAATGCCCATAATGATTTGTGCTGTATCTGCAACAGTATTCTAACTCAGTTTTATTTTTGAATTGCTTATGACTTCAAACGATGCAATTACACAGAATGTTGGAATAACTGGTGACTGATAATCATTTATAAAATATGGTCACATTTAATTATAAAGTATAAGCGGATCTTTCTGACAGAAGAATTATTTTTAAAATGTAAAAAAACCTCATCTTTTTCATTGGGAAGAAATATGGATGTTTAATGGGTTCACGCTTAAATCTTTAAGTAATTTACTTTGTTTTCATGATTAGTTGTAATTGAAAGTGAAAACGTCGAATATCTATCCATGAAAGTGGTATAAGAAATAGCATCATAATGTACTACATTCTTGCTAATAAGTGTCCCCATATGAGGGACGACTTGTATCATAAGTGGGTGAATTGATTGTAGGTTACGAATGGAATTGTGTATTGTATTGAAAAGTGGTTGTGCGTGTGCCCTTCTGATATTATTACTCTAGGTAGTGAGCAGGGTATAGACGCTTATGTTGATACATTGTTGATTTTCGATTAATTGCTGTTTCTACTTCTGTGTTCTGTTCAATGTTTCGTCTTATGAGTGAGTTCTGAAAATTATTTACAGTTTATTTTACAGTTACTCGTTTTGTCCAGTCTTCAAGTCAATCATCACAGATCATTATTATTATTATTACTGTTATTATTATTATTATTGTTGATGTTATTATTATTGTCCTTATTGGTTTTATTGTTCTGAATGTAATATTCAACGTACAACAAAAGCATGGTGATAGCCACTGCAGCCAGTCGTTCGTAAGCAATGTTACTGGTGTTTACCTCTAATTTTTATGTTTTGACAAAGCATTGTTATTGCATTTCTTCTTCTCTGCAACAGCTTCTTCATAACTCTGTATATATGGCAATTTCCAAACATTATACGAGTATAGCAGTATACGTGGATGATGAGTTTTAGCCTGTACATCCACTCGAAGTTGGCTTGAGTTTATGTTCAAACTTGTTCTTGGGCTTATGCTTAAGCTTGTGTTCACGTCTAACCTTACAAAAGGCTAAAAATACATCCATATGTGTCAATTTCAAGTGCTGCACCGTCCGTGTGGCGTGTAAACGTTGTTCACAGATTTGTTTACTGAATTCTATACATGCAAATAGCACAGATTATTCTCATATTGGCTATTCTATTTGAATCTTTGAAATAAGTGATTGTTTTATGAAATTGATTACCAGTTCATTTCGATCATGTCTATATATGTATATTCAGTTCAGTTCGTAACATCCGGCTGATCCAATGCACATGTAAAATTGTGCATAGCATAGCGAGAGTGGAATGATATCTGTGACAACTCTAAACATTCAAATGGCCTGAATCCAGGCTTAAGCTGATTCTTGGGTTCAGGCCTAAGTTTGATATTAATCTCGACGGTTGCACTTGAATCCATCCAGGCCTTCAACAATGCAGTTTATTTGATTGGATATTGTTGGATCAAATCAGTGAAGAAGTTGGCAGAATATCTAAATGTTTTTGGATATGAGGAAGTAAACTAAATGAGTTTCATTTCGGATAGGTGACGGAAGTCGGTTATTGTCATCATTATTGTTTCAGAGAAATTATTTGAGAGGGAGGGTGAAAAAATTGACTGGTGAGGGTTAAGGGGTTAAGAGTTGCAGAGAATTTGAAGAGATTAGGGTTGGGCTGGAAGGAGGGATATTTGATTGTAGTAGTGGATCGTTGTTATTGCACATATGCGCTAAATTAGTGTTTTATTTGGTTGTGTTATTCATTTGTTTTGTTAATTTTTATCTTGCTTCATCAGCCGCCCTCAGCGCATATTTGCTCAAAAAAAAGATGTTATTATTGTCGTTGGTATCACTATTTGCTCTCATTATTATGATTACGATTATAGTTGTTGTTAATGCTGCTGCTGCTGCTGTCATTTTGTGATTTCATCATTATTAGTTCATGTATGTGTTGTTATTGTTATTGTTGTTATTGTGATTAATGGTAATAGCAATGATAATAATAATCGAACTTCTAGCCACTTCTTCGCGATACGACTGAATAATTAATAAAAAATTACATAATCTTATGGAGGATGGGATATCGAATGGTTGACATGCGCCGATGAAATTTGATATTTTATTCTTGCAGTTTGGAAATGCCAGAGATAAACAGAACGCAAAATCTACTGGATTGAAACACATACTAATTCTGCGAGAATGATCGCCAATAAATATCTATCACTCATCGTATTTTTTAAGGAATTCCAAAAATTCGTTCACATCGTCTGGTGAGCCAAGTATGATTGGACAACGAGAATGGATCTTCTCCGGTACTAGATCCAGCACTGCACCCTTTCCAGTGGTCGCGATCCCACCAACTTGTTCAGTTAAGAAAGCCATTGGTAAACTTTCATATAGCATGCGAAGCTGTAACGACAACGGTATCATTTATTACTGTTGTTGTTATTATTGTGATATTAGAATAATACTATTGTTGTTGCCATAGTAGTACCGTTCTTCTACTGGTTATCCCCTTTTCTGGTTATTCATTGGGATGATGATAATAAAAAATACGGAGTATGATTTCTGCCACATATCCACAGTTCCGACCCCATTCTCGTCGTTTCCCTGGTCCCAGCACTTTGTTGCTTATTTCATCAGCAATTACAATAACTCATTACTTCTTTTACCAGAAATATCACATTCTTCCTTCCTTTCATTTCACACATCCGTTTTAATAAAATTGCTTATTAATTTGATGATCATAGCTACTTTGCAACGATTTGTAAAGGAAGGGGCTGGAGATTAAACTAAAAGAACACTTCGATTGTCGAGTGAAGGTGCGATCAGAGTAATTGCTGAAAACAATTGATAGCTATCAACCAATGATTTTTCTGAATAAGTAATTATAGCGTTGGACACGGATGGGATTTGTTCGTCCCTATTAAATTCCACAGCAGTGAGTATTCGTTGACATAATAAAACGTTTTGCATCATAGTTGATAGCTGGCGATTGTTTTCGACGCTTATTTCAATCAATTGCAGTGTATTTTTGGGCTTACATAGAGCCCCACTTCTTAGAAATCATTGGATAATATAGGAGAATAGTCTTACACTCCTATGGTCTGCAAATTAATAAGAATTTAATAAATCTCATCCGTAGTATCAAAACTAATATAAAGGAGCGTTGATACCTTGCCGTTTGGTTTATCCTTTCCAGCTGGATATAAAAATATTCCGCCATATAAAAATGTGCGATGCACATCAGCGACCATTGAGCCAACATAACGCAATGACATTTTCGAGTGTCCTTCTTCAGGGAATTTTCTTGTACGAATGTATTCGGACATTCCCTTAGACCACGTCGATGCATACGCTTCATTTACGCTGTATACGCTGCCTTTCTTCGGTATTTTCATTTGAGGATGCGTCAGTATGAATTCACCAATGCTCTAAAATGTATTTCTTATACACTCTTCAAATAAATGAACTTTGCGCCTAAGTGATAGAATCGTCACGGTTTCAGCTCACTAATCAAACCATTTTCATCCACACCAATTTGCTTTCACTTATAAGTAATTTATTAGAAATTTGTAAGAAATAGCAAAAATTTTCAGTAAATTACTAGTAAGTATAAGCGAAAGGATTAAATTAGTTTAAGTGAGAATGGAATGAGTAGGCACCTTGAAAATATATTGCATTTATTGCCTATTCATAGCTACAGATAATAATGGATTAGTATTTTAATGTTTAGGAAAACAATGTTTGTTCTCATCAGATTTATGAATAGCCTCTCGTCCTATTCCGATTCCACTATAATTTTGATAAACAGTGAATCAAACATCAAGTAATATGTAATGAACCAACCGGATCAAGCATAT